CAAACCCTTGGAATTGCAGCTAAAACATGGGGCAGAAACGTCCTGCAGAAACCCTTGCCTTTAAGGGAGTCACAGAGGCCCTCCAGCCCCTCCCACCATGGCTGCCCCGCAGGTGCAGGCCGAGGAGCTGGGGAGGGAGGGAGGGAGGGCATGGGGTTTCTTTCTGCGTGAAAAGCAAAGGCACAGAGTCAGGCGAGGACAAGCCTGTGTCTGTCTGTCTGCCTGGCACCACCTGTGCGGCTGCGGGCTTCTCCCCGGGCCCCTGCAGGCTTCTCCCCGGGCCCGTGTCCAGGATGCTAGTGATGCCACCCTCGCCCTGGCTGGTCTGTTTGAGGGTTCACTGGGGTCCTTCCGTGTGGAAGCTCCAAGAAGATGGCAGCCTAAAGCACCCCGTCCCTGGGCCTGGGGCCTAGCACCCCCACACCCTCCAAGGGCCTCCTTCCCAGGAGAACCAGCCTGGACGCTCCCTCCTCCCTGGCCTGGCCCTGTGTTCTCACCCACTGGGCCTGTGTTCTCACCCCCGGGAACTTGGTGTCATTCTTCCTTGGGGGGCAGCTGACTTCCTCCCGAGGTGGCTGGGTCAGCAGGACAAGCAGCTGCCTCCCTGCTCAGCTTCCCCGAGCAGAAGGCTGGCCTGACCCCAAAATGCAGCAAGTGTCCACTGGGGGGCGGGACAGCAGGCCCGTGGGAGGGTCACCGCACAGGACCCGGGTAGCAGAGTCCATTCTGGCTGCTCCCGTGGCTCCCAAGTCCCACTGGCTCAGGCTCCAACCCTCAGCCCGCTGTGTGGCCCAGGGTAGGTGGCTTTACCTCTCTGAGCCACGAGAATTCAATGCAGTCACAAGTAAAAGAGCTGAGCCCAGGGCCTGGTACACAGTCAGTGCTCAGTACGTGGAAGTGGTGACCATGATTATAAGAGGCGCAGAGCAGAGGGCTCAAGAGCGACACTGCCCAGGTTCGAATCCCAGCTCTGCCACTTAACAGAGACTGTATACATGGGCAAGTCACGTCCTCTCGCTGTACCTCCGTTTCCTCATCTGTAAAATGGGGTAATGACAGTCCCTTCCTTGTAGGGCCACGGGACGATTAGATGAATACACGTAAATTGAAAGTGCTTAGAATAGAACCTGCCACATGGAAAGTGCCAGATAGATGCCAGTGATGCCTACATCTGTTTGCTGGCTGCACGCCCTCTCCTCCCACCCCAGGGCCTCGATGCTGCAGGCACTCTCCGATGAGAAGGTGGATGAGGCCCCGAGGCTGTCCCCACCTCCTCCCAGGCTCTGCGGGGCCTTGGAGGGCGGCCTGCCGAGGAAGGAGAGGAGGGGCTTCGAAATAATTCCACCTGCAGACTCGCCCACGGACACACAGCCCGACAGACACACCACCCACTCAAACCCACAGCAAACCCACAGCAAACCACGGGACCCAGCCGCTCCCCCTTCCTACCTACCCGGAGCCATCATCCGGCCCCGGCCCAGGCCCTAGGCCAGGCAGCGCCCTCTGAGCCATGCAGTCACGCCTCGATCCTGGCTCCACACCCACCAGCCGCCTGGCCCCGCAGTAATTACAGAGAGCGCGAGGCTCATGCCCAGCTGTGACGTCCGCCCGAAGCTTCCAGCTAGGAGATCTCCCCCGCAGGAGCAGAGACTCAGGCGCTGTGATGTGGAGTAGGGGCTCAGGACGAGGCTTCAGTCTCCCTCTCGGATAGAGGGGCGAAGTGGGGTGGGGTCCGCTCAGCAGGCATCAGAGATTCAGGAACAACCCAGACCCCCGCCCGGGCCCTGCCGCCCCATAGCTGTGTGCAGGGGCCTGACCCTGCGCCCGTTTCCTCGCCTGCCAAGTGGGTGGTGGTGACACCCCTGCTGTTGTGAGGCTGCAGGTGCTCGCCGCGCGGTGGGCACGCAGGCGGTAAGGGATGGTGAGTGCTGGTACCTCCATGTTCTTATTTTTAGCAACTGCCTCATGCGGGCACCGCTTCACATCACAAGGATTTCTCAGCCAGTGACTCACTGAATTCCTTCGCACCCCCACCCCACCCACGGGCCAGGGGGCCGAGCCCCAGAAGCTCACAGAGGGAACGCAGGCCTCAGATGGCCCACCTGTCGGGGGCAGATCAAAGACAGGGGCCCTCCCATCAAAGGGGGGTTTGTAGTCATTCTCCAAGCCCACGGGGGTGGGAGTGGGCGGGGGGCAGGGAATTGGAGAACAGGTCCTCTCTGCGCTTCGCATGTCAGACCAGACCCCCTGCTGGAATCGCACCTGTTGAGAAGTTTCACTATTAACATCAGCATAACAACGTGGAGGCCACCACTGTCACCCCGTCCTCCTCCGGCAGCTTCCTTTCGCCCGGCACAGGGAGCTGCGGGTGAGAACTCAACGCTGAAAAGACGGCCGCCCAGCGCGGGAGGTGATGTGCCAGTTTCATCCTCCGACCATCCTCTGACCTGGGGGACCAGCGAACCCCCTTTCTGAGGAGGAAGCTGCCGGAGGAGGACGTGCTGACAGTGGTGGCCTCCACGTTGTTATGATGATGTGAATAATGAAACTTCTCAACAGGTGTGATTCCCAGGCAGGGGGTCGGGTCTGACATGTGAAGCGCAGAGAGGACCTGTTCTCCTATTCCCCACCCCCCCGCCCCGCCCCCGGGGGCTTGGAGAATGACTACAAACCCCCTCAGGACACACCGCGAGCAGGCGGCTCTGAGGTCCACTTTACAGGTGGGAAAGGGGCAGTTCAGGCGCTTGGGAGTAAGTGAGAGCCCTGGCCAGCGCTGGGGGCAAGCGCTGAGCGCTTGGAGGCGGCTGCAACCCGGGGCCATCGGCCTTCAAATCCATGGCTCCCAGGTCCCTGGTCCCCTTCTGCAGTCCCCGGGGGCGGCAGGATCAGCAGGCGGGGGTGGGGGGGCTGGGGGGGAGTATTTGCAGAGGGTGACCTGAGCCTTCAGCCAGCAGAGGGTTATTAATAGCCGCGCCTAAGTGCTGGCTCTGAGGGCGGCTCCGGGGGAGGGCGGGGAGGGCGGCGGGCGGGGCCGGGCGGAGAGCCTGTCCCAGAGGCGGCTGCAGGGGCCCTCCCAGCCCCCTCGGAGCCAGCTGGGCCTGAGGATCTGCAGGGCTAGTTCATCACCTCGGAATACTCGCGTGACGGGAGGGACCTGGGCAGTGCCCGCCTCCAGCCGCAGCCGCTATAAATAAAAGGCTCCCAGCCCAGAAGCCAGGAGAAGTTTCTAGGCCTGCGTCCCAGGGTTTATTAAGCTCCTGGCTCCACTTTAGACCTTGGCGGCTCTGGCTTCGAGCCTGGACAGCCTGGGAGGACAGCGGCTGGCGGATCGCGGGTGAGGCGGTGTGGACAGGGCTCTCTGGGATTCTGCAGGACCAGCCCGGGTGGCCTGTGGCGGCCGGAGAGACTTCGGGGGTTGGGACCCCAGCCTGGTGCCTGCCTCCACCCTCCGCAGCGGATGGTCCAGCAGCTTTTGAAGCTGAAGAATTAGCTGGAAGGCTAGCCCACCACATCACCTTGCTGTGTGACCTTGGGCAGGTGGCTCCCTCTCTCTGAGCCTCCATTTGTGCTCCAGCTCAGCATCCGCCATGGCTGATGGTCAGATGCCCTTCTCCTGCCACTACCCAAGCCGCCTGCGCCGGGACCCCTTCCGAGACTCGCCCCTCTCCTCGCGCCTGCTGGACGATGGCTTTGGCATGGACCCCTTCCCCGACGACTTGACTGCCCCCTGGCCCGACTGGGCGCTGCCTCGACTCTCCTCGGCCTGGCCAGGATCCCTGAGGCCGGGCACGGTGCCGCGGGTGCCGACTGCCACAGGCAGGTTTGGGGTACCCGCGGATGGCAGGAGCCCCCCGCCCTTCCCTGGAGAGCCCTGGAAAGTGTGTGTCAACGTGCACAGCTTCAAGCCAGAGGAGCTGATGGTAAAGACCAAGGACAGATACGTGGAGGTGTCTGGTGAGTGGGGATCAGGAGGGGGAGAGAGAAGAGGGTGGGGTGGGGGCTGCAGGTTGGAACAGCCCAGAGGACTTCTCTGGAGGGGCAGCTGTGAGGGCTGAGGCAGGCGACCTCAGGGCTCAGGGAATGTGGGCCCCAAAAGTTACCCTTAGGGAGAACTCCCCCTCCCTGGCCACCAAGGAAAGCGCAGCCCTGACCAGCGGGCCGGGGCCTTGGGGGCGCCGGCCTATCCATCAGAGCCGGCAGGGGGGTGGGAACCGGCCGGATATGGTGGCGGAGAATTGCAGAGGAAGAAGTGACACAGACACAGAAGGAATCGAAGGGCCCCAGATCACATCACAGCCTTGAAGGCGTGTTTCATGTGGAGGGTTAGCAACCAGCCTGGCTTCAAGGGCAACACTCTCTGGTCCCAGATAAGAACTGAGGCTGAATGGCTATTTTAAGGAGACGAATGGGTAACCTTGACCAGCTTCCTAGCTGCCAGACCCACCTGAGCACTTCACCTACAGCTGCTCAGTTAATGCGGCCAGAGGGCAGGGGTCCCGTGGGCTCCCCTTCTTACAGAGGAGGAAGGGGAGGCCCAGGGGGGCTCAGGGAACCCCCCGCCCCAGGCCACCAGGGGTTCCGATCCAGGCTGCCTGGGAATGGGAGGCCAGAAGCGAATCGGCCATCTAGGCACCTACTAGGGACGAAGGGCTGGGCTAAACCTCTTCTGTTCCTTCTCCCCAACACGCGCCCCCCCCCCCCCCCGCCCCAGCCCTGAGAGCAGAGGCCTCCAGGCCCCCTCGGCTGAGCTGGGACCCAGGCGGGATGCGTCCAAGGTCACGCTGTGAGTCAGCAGCAGGAGGAGTCTGGGCCTGCCCGCACCCCAGGAGAGGGGAGCAGCTTTCTGTCGCTTCCCAGCAATTAAAGCTCCACTAAAAGGAGCAGGTTCCCAGCAGGCTCTGCTGCCAGAAAAATCAATAAAAGCATCGCAAACATGGGCGGGCGGGACGAGCCCTGGCAGGAAGGCGTCCGGGGGGGAGTTTCAAAGCCTGGCAGGTCAGAATGATAAACATCGGCGGTCTGGCAGGCGCGGCGGGCCAGGCGTCAGGCTGGGGCCACGTGCTGACGGAGGGGGTCGGCCAGGGCTCTGGGCGGCCTTGGCCGGGACGGGACGCTGGGCTCGAGTTCTGAAACAGGCTCCCCCCCTGACCAGCAGGTTGTACAGACTTAGCTGCTCTCGGCTTTGTTTCCTAATCTGGAAATTGGGGTTCAAAGGGCTACAAGGGCAGAAGGATGATTGTATTTAATGAGCTGATGCGTGAAACGTGTGGACATATAGCGCCTGAAACTGTTACTGAAGTGGATGTTGATAAAATGCCAGCCACCCAGGGAGGCCCTGAGAAATCATAAATGGCAGATGGCCTCTGAGACCTGGGTTCCAAGCCTGGCTGTGCTGGTCACGCTCTATGGATGTGGGCAAGGAAGTCTTTTTACCGCTCTGAGTCTCCGCTTCCTCATCTGCAGAATAGGGATCATAATATCTGTCCCATAAGGCTGCAGGGGAGACCAAATATATGCAGACCATATGTAAGACCTGCAGAGTGTCTGTAAAATGGAGCTAGTGAGGGCGCCTGCCTGGTGCCCTGGAGATGGGCATTATTATGGCCACTCTCTGTCTTTGTTTTAATTAAGGTTCCTGAGTTTTCCACCCCAGGTTGGAGGGTCCTGTGGCCCTTCCAGGAGACCTCTGCCCAGCCTCTCCGTCCTCTTTTCTAGGCGCTTCTTAACAAACGGGATCGGGCAGCTCCAAGCCGACATCCCAGCTAAGTCACTCACTGATCCAGAGGCTTTGAATGCGTCTCGGAGCCTCAGGTTCCACATCTGTAAAATGGGGTCGTTGGGGAACACAAACAAGACAAAGGCAGACAAAGCCTTTTTAGGCTGTAAAATTCTCACAGGCGTGCACTTAGCCACCTTAGCTCGACAGAACCCCGATCCCCCGAGAGGACACACTGAGTCTCTCCCCAAAGCAGTTTGAAAGATCCGACCAATAGCAGAGGCTCCATCTAAAACGCAACTTTCAAGGGAGGTCAGACATGAAACCAGTCTCCCCTCCCGCATCGCATAGTGACAAACCTATTCCCCACGCACTCTGTGCTAAATACCTACACAGGTTGGCTTGCTGCTTCCTCACGTGGACTTCTAAGTAAACATGGGCAGGTTTGTTATACCCATTTTACAGATGAGGACACTGAGGCCCAGAGAGAGGCATTCACCTGAGATCACCCACTTCTCCATGGCAGTGTCTGAAATTCAAAGTCAGGCCGACCTAGCCAGTTTCCAGTTCTGATTGTGTGGCCCCGGGCAAATCCTCCCTGCCACCTCCGACCCTCAGGGTGACCATGGGCCTGTGCAGGGGGACTGGGTCAGTAATTGCCCAACAGTGTTCTTTCAGCTGCCACTAGGCGTCTGAGCACTGGGTGGAGGAGGGGGTCCAGAATTCTAGAAGGTGCTGGTTGGAACAACATGGTAACCGTCGTCTCGCTGTGGGCTTCGCAGAGCGCTGAGTCTGCTAATGTGGTTTATGAATCTCGGAGAGACGGCCTTGTCTTATCTGACACCTGTGAGTGTCCAGTTCCAGGGAAGTGTTTGGATGATGCTGGACTAGAAGATTCCCATCATGCCTCACACACTCTCACCCCCGCCCGGCCGCCACCAGCCAAGAACCATTCCCTTCCTGGGCCACTGGGCCAGGCTCTGGCCAGGGGAGGGACTGGAAAGTCCCCAAGACCATATGCCCGGCCCTTCTCCTTAAGCCCAGGGCCCCCCTCCCTGGTAACAGCCGGCTCTCTAGCTGGGCCAGTGGCTTTCCCCGAGGGCTGATGCCCACATTTCTCCGAGGCTCCCAGAGGCCTCTCAGCTTCCCTGACTTCAGATGAGTTCTCTTTTTCCTTCTTTAACCACAATAATTACTTTTTTGTTTACAAAAATGAAATTATTCCCATGTAGAAAATAAACAGGAAAGCAAAATAAGAATGAAACACTACTCATCATCCTTCAACTGACCCTACTAGATATTCAAATGCTATGCAAATTAAGCTTTAAGACTCCACTCTTTCCAACACCTTCTTTCAACCAGATGAACACTACCCCAGGCCCCCCCTTATGGAAATCAGAGACCCTCTCCTCCCTGACCCCAAAACCTTGTTCTCAGAGCCTGGACAGGGAGGGTTAGCTTCTGAGGGGCAATCCTGCCCCAAACATCGAAATAAACCACAAGCGTTTACCTTCACACAGTAATTCTACAACTTACAAAGCGATTCTGTGACTCACTGTCATTCACTCCTCAAAGTAACCCAATAATTAGGATGTTGCTGTCACCCCCATTTTAGAGAACAATACACTGAGGCCCCAAGAAAAGTAGATGTCAGAGCAGGGACTCAAGTCCAAAAACCACACACCTGCCTTTGAACCCCTGCTCCTGCTCTTCCGAGCTGTGTGACCTTGGGCACATCACTTAACCTCTCTGAGCTTCTGTTCCCGAGCCACAAAACTGCAAGAATAAGGCTGGCGTGCAAATGAAAGGAGGTGTTCTAGGCGAGGTGCTCAGAACAGTGGCTGACACCACGCAAGAGCTGTATGAGTTTGCTATTTTACTCTTATCCCCCGCCTCCTCCTTCATTATTCCCAGGACGCAGTGTGCAGAAGAGCTGAGTCAGAGGCACTGGCCTGTCCCCAAGGGAGACAGGCCTCCAGAGGCCCAGGCTCTGGGGAGGGGACCTTTGGCCATGTGCCGGTGCGAGCGCCGGGCAGCTGGTGGTCAGGGACTTGGCAGGTCAGAACGAACGCTCAGAGCATCAGCACATTCACAGAACAGCAGCACTCCCGTTCAACACCATTTCCTCTAAATGTGCCCCTTTCTGCTCAGCTGGGCGATGGAGCAGCACAGACCAAGCTTAGAAATTCTAGAACCCGGAACTCGCCCTAAAGAAGCCCAAGAATATCAGTGCAGCGACATTCTTTCCATGTCAGGAACGGGCCGGTGCCCAAAAGCTGGGGACTGGCTGCATGACCTTATATATCCCCACGGGGAACGCCGGGCAGCCGTTACAAATCGTGTCCAAGAACATCGGCCGTAACACAGAAAATAACTAGAGTGTGATCCCATTTGATAAGCTATATGACGCACAGCTATACCACATAACATTTATGCATTTCTAAGTACAGAAAGAAAAGCCTGGAACATCTACCAAAATGCCAGTGGTTTTCTCAGGGCGATGGGGTTATGGGTGGTTTTATTTGATTTTTTCCATTATTTTCTACACTTTCTAACTTACACGTGCATTATCTTATAATCTAGAAAAAGTAATTAAGAAAGGAGTAATGAATAAAAAAGCAATTAGTAATGTAGTTACCTATAAATGGCCGGTTTTTCAAAATCTGGGGCCACAGAAAAATAATACATCTCACTAGGTTATTCCATCTAGATTCCCGAGCCCCTCAGAGGGTGTCCCTGTGTACAGGAGGGCTCCTGGCCCTGGGCTGTGGCCCCACAAATGAGGGGGGGAATGGCTCTCCTGCCACTAACTCCTTGTTTACAGAGAAATGAGAGACACTCTCTCCATTAAAAAAGTAAGAATGGGAAGGGCGACGAGGCTCAGAATTTGTTATATAAACTGCAAGGTATAGGCAGTTTGGGCCCAGGCCTCCTTGTCATTTCATCTCTTTCCTTCCTAAGGAAGGAAAAGAAAAGAAAACACCCCCCTCCCCTGCACCCTGCAGGAGGGAAGGGCAGTTCCCACCATGGAGCCTCCCCCTTCCATAGGCAGGGCCCCTCTGGGAGTCGGGGGTTGGTAGCAGATTGAAGCATTGCTGCCAGGCGGCTCTCTCAGGACCAGGACCCAGAATATGACTCTGGGAGCTAATTGGAAGGTGGGACGGGCAGAGAGGATCAGACCCAGCACCTGGCTCAGATTCAGAGAGAGCTGGCTCAGAGCCCGGGGCGGGGCCTCAGTTTTGCACGGGTAACCCTGAGCAGCCCATCCTGGGGTGGGGGTAGGGGGGAGGGTCCATGAGCTGTGAAGCCAGCGGCGGCATCCGGGGTGTTGGCCCCAGGGTTCCCCTGGCTGCTGAGGGCGCCGTGCTGTCCAATGAGGGCTTGGAAGATACAGTGCCACACGGGCCCAGGCTCTGATTTCCTAAGACAACATGTAATTGTCTGCCACCTGCAGTCAGGGCCTCCTGTCCTGTCCATTGTCTTGCTTCATCTCCTCAGCAGCCTGGGAGGTGGGCTCAGGTGAGGGGCCCGAGGCTCAGACTGCTGGAGCCTCGAGTCTAGATCAAGCCCCGAGCCACACAATGAGGCGGGGCCAGGGCAGGGTTTGAACCTGAGCCTGGGCTCCCGTCAGTGGAAGCCCAAGGGACTCAGATGCTGACGGAGGATTCCTCCCCCTCCAGGCAATCACGAAGAGAAGCAGCATGAGGGGGGCATTGTGTCCAAGAACTTCACCAAGAAAATCCAGTAAGTAACCCCGTGTGTGTTTCCGGTGGGCGTGGAGGGCGGGAGGGGCCTGGGACCCCAGTTCTGGGGTCTGTACCCTCTTGGGCATCTCTCCCGTGAGGCACCTCACCCCCACCCCGGGGTAGGGAGCTGAACCTTCACCCTAAAGGGGAAAATGTCACAGCAAAGGAATCATGTGAGCAGAAGGCCACCTGCAGAGCCAATGAGTCCAAGCCACACGGAGCTCCCCCACCCCCTGAAACACCTGAGGGAAGAAGAGCCCGTAGGTCCTAACGCTGCATGGACACGCCTGTTTCTGAGGGCATCACGCCACCCGGTGTCCTGCTGGCCCCAGGGTCTCGCCATCCTGGCTGCCGTGAGCCGTTGGTTGCAGCTCAACGTGCAGAGGGCAGGAGAGACCTCACCCTCCCTGGAGGACGGAGAACTTGGGGGAAAGGTCCTTACAGTTAGAAATTAGAACAGCCCCGAGCTGGTCCCTCATCCTAATGCCCTTTCCTCCCGGTAAGAAGGATGGAGGGTGACTCTAGCCCTGCGGCCTCCCCAGCTGAACATCAAAGGAGATGGTGGTCAGGCACCGCACACAGCAGCCCCAGCCAGCGGGCGCCGGCGTTCCTGTCACCCTTGTTGCTATCGATCCTCACTCCGCCCGCCCAGGAAAGACAGCATTAGCCGAATTCCTAGGCTTCTTTTGGATCCTGCAGTCCCGTCCCCCACGTGTCCTGGCCTGACCCCCCTGCGATGCGGGTTCCTGGAAGCCGCGGGCACTTCCCCATAAGGCCATGGCCAACTGTGTCTCTGCTCACTGGCCTGCATGCCAGGCCCCCTCCCCGCGGTCCAGCACCAGACCCAGCGTCGCGGAGGGCAAAGGAGGGGGAGGGCGCTGATGTTTCTGTCAAGAGATTCAAACGAGGTGCCCCCACGGCCACAGACAGAGCTGAGCCGTGACAGGGACGGAGGCAGAAAGAAGGCAGCGGGTTCATCATCTTATAAACATGGCCATTTTCGTGGATTTTGCCATCTCTGGGGCCTCAGGGGAAACAGTTATTGACCAGGTAGAACAGCCTGAGGCGGCCAGAGGCAGGGCTGCTGGTCAGCTGGGGCCCGGCAGCTGAGCGGGCTCCTGTGACAACACTGCACTGGCCACTGCCCTGAGCCCCCCACGTGCCCTCCCAACCAGCCAGCCATCCTTACCTGCCCGGGACCCTCCAGAGCTCCCCACATCCCAGAAACTAAAGGGTCCCCAGGACCCTCCCCCCTCGCCATGGCCTGAATCCTCCACTCTGATTGGTCAATGCCCAGCTGCCTGTGGTTAAATCTCATCTCACCCAGGGGGGTGGGAGTCCAGGCTCCGCTAACTTGAGCTGCTGTCCCCCCGTTTCCCGCGGAGGCACCCCGATGGGGCAGGAGAGGATGTGTGTGAAGCACTTACACAGGGGGTGGACTCGGGGCTCCTCCCGGGAACTGGCCTTATTAAAACCTCCAAACCAGGGCACCTGGTCAGAGACCTAGACTGAGTCTCTTCCCACCGCTGGGCCTCAGCTTCCCCAGGTGGGAAATGAGAGCTTTGTCCCGGACCATCGTGAGGACTCTCTGGGGCTCTGACATTCTGCGGGTCGGTGATACCTGGCTTTGTGCTGAAACATTCACAGCCGTCAGGGTGCCCGCGGCGCGGCCCACGGCTGCGCAGAAGCTAACCCTCAGCAGGCACTCCGGCGCACCAGGCACGGTTCTCAGGTCACCTGCAGAGGCTGGCACTTTCGTTACCCCTTTCCCTATAAGGAAATAGGCTCAGGGGGTGAGAGCACAGGCTCAAGGCCACACAATCAGGAAGAGTCAGAATTTGAATTCAGGGCCCTGGCTGGGTAGCTCAGTGGGTTAGAGCATCGTCCCGCTATGCCAAGGGTTTGATCTCTGGTCAGGGCACATACAAGAAGCACCAATGATGCATGAATAAGTAGACCAACATGTTTCTCTCCCTCTCCCTCCCCCTCTCTCTAAAATCAATACATTAAAAAAAGAGAGAACTTGCCACGCCCATTCTCCGGACCACAGCCACCTCTCCCACTGTGTCCGGTGCCCACTGGGTTGGCATGCGAGCGGTTAAGCAGAGCTGACCCATCCCAGCAGCCAGGGGAGGGCCACACGTCTGCAGCTCGGCTTGGCAGCTGCCCCGTTCCCTCTTTCTCTTCCCTCCTTCCCACAGGCCCCGCTAATGCTCGCGGCTTCCATTTGGCCGGCGTCTCCTGGGTAGACTCGGCGCATGGGGCTACGGGTTTCCCCTCCAGGAAGGGCCCTGCCCATGACCCAGAACGGGCTGACCTCACTTCCGGGTTCTTTCATCAAGACCCGTGACTTTGCTTTTACAACAGGCAGAGCCAGCCCGGGCCAGGAGAGCTCTTGGTGATCAAACCTTCTGTCCTCTCCCCCTCCCCGCCCCACCCATGGTCCCTTTTTTAAAAATCGGGTGCCAGAGAGCTACTGTGAATTCAGAGACCAGGATCCCAACTCCATCCCCACCTGCCGCTCGCCAGCTGTGTGACCTTGGGCAGGTCACCTCCTCTCTGACCTTGACCTCCCACCTGTGAGTCAGGGACAGAAACAACTCGCCCGGTGGGATCAGGGTTAACAACGAAGTGAGAGGATTCGGGTGAAGCACCTGGCACACGGACGCTCAGAGGCCTCCGTTCTTATTCTTCTTATTCATAAAGGCACCCCACAGAGTCGCCACAGGTTCTCCGCATTCCAATGGTTTGTTGAAGAAACTTCGTGGGTCGCTCATTCACTCCGAACGAGCCCCAAATCATAAAAGCAGCTTCAGAACCGGAACCGGATTTGGGTTCAGAGAGCCCGGCGTTGGTGCTCGCTCGCTCACGCACAGAGCCTGTCATTTAATTCCCCAAGTCTCTGTTAAAGGCTCTGTGCCACGGGCATGTCAACTCCCATTCACCATTCGGGGCCCATGTACAGCTCGGACCAGGTCATGCCTACACACGTGTTCAGGAAGCAAAACACTTACCACCTACAGCAAACACCTAGGATGTGCCCCAATCACGGCTCATCCTAAACATACAGAGGACGCTGGCATCTGCATTCGAGCCAGCGGCCAGCCTGACCCACTCTGCCAAGCTGCCCATCCACCATTAATCCCACCGGCGGTGCACGTGGCAGGTGGCCGTGCGCCACCCGCTGCCAGACACACCTTACTGTGCTCTGCGCGGGGAGGGGATGGCGGCCGTTTCGCCAATAGCTGGTGAATCGTGGTGCTAAGTGGAGACTTCAACCTGAATCAGACACGGGGGCCACAGCTCCCTTGTAAGTTACTGTTGAGCAGCATTTACCACTAGCAAAGCATGTTCACATTCTTTGCAAAGAATCCACCCAAATCCGGTCCACGTTTAATACAATGACCTCCATTTTGCAGAAGAGAGAACAGGCTCCGAGTAGCTGAGTGGCCTTCCCAGGACCACAGCTAGACAGGGGCAGAGCCAGGATTCAGACCCGGCATGTACACCCCAAGCCCAAGCTCTTCTCAAAACTATCTTCTTTCAGAACGTGTGGCCTGGATTAAAATAAATGACTAAAACCCTGTGCTCCCCCTAGGCTTCCTGCGGAGGTGGACCCCGCCACGGTGTTCGCCTCGCTCTCCCCGGAGGGCCTGCTGATCATCGAGGCTCCCCAGGTGCCCCCGTACTCGCCATCGGGAGAGAGCGGCTTCAGCAACCAGCTTCCTCAAGACGGCCAGGAGGTCACCTGCTCTTGAGACCCCAGTCTTGGCCCATCCTTGTCACCCCCCCACCCCCAGGGCTTCTCTGATTCCAGGGTACATTAGTCATCACTTCAGCTGAACTCATAGATTTAGTGCAACTAAAATGTTGGGGGTCAGGGTCATTTGACCAGTCCCTAGATAGTGTAGTACTAGGTGTTTGCACCAAGAGGGCGCAATTGGCAAGTCATGCTGGGTGGCGTTAGGCCAACATGCTGGAAGTTTTTCTTTCTTTACTTTTTCTGTCTTGATAAAAATGTCCTACATTCAACAGTTGCACAGCATGCAGAAGGGGACATAGCATTTCACACAGTACCTCACCATGCAACTGATGCCAGGGCTGCTTTTCTCTGGGGACCTCGCATCACCCAGATTCCTATTCTGGGCCCCATGTCCGTGCCTGCCCCCTGGTTGGCTGATGGGGCCCATGAGCTCCCCGCACTGTGTTTCTGCAGCCCTGGCCTATAGCGGTGACAGCAGGGCTTCCTCCCCAAACGGGAATTACCCAACAGTCACAGGAAAACAGCAGTGCCTTCTGCCCTCCGCCCAGCACCTGCCGCACGTTCCCGAGCTCGCAGTCCCCCAGGAGTCTGGAAGCCCCTCGGTTTACCCTCTAGCTAACGTCCCCCTTCCTTGTGTCTGTGTCCTCGTCGGGATTTTTACAGAGGGGGCTGTCTCCAGGCAGCTCCGCCAGGAACCAAGCAAAGGCCAGACAGCCGGCAGGCAGGATAGGGGTACTGTGTATATGGGTGGGACGTGTGTGTCATTGTTATCTGAATTGTGCTGTTCTTTAGGGGAAACATAACAGTAAATAATAATAAAGGAACTGGTGTTCTTA